AAAAAAAAAAACTTTTATGATAGCATCCATTTTTATTTTGAGTTGGAGTCTCACTGCCTGGGCTGGAGTGCAGTGGCACACTCTCAAGGCCACTGCAGCCTCAACCTGTGGGGCTGAAGCGATCCTTCCATCTCAGCCTTCCAGTTAGCTAGAACTACAGGTACGCACCACTGTGCCTGGTTAATTTTTTTATTTATTGTAGAGATGAGGTCTTGCCATGTTGCCCAGGCTGGTCTCGAACCCTGGGCTCAGGCAATCCTCTTGCCTCAGCTTCCAAAAGTTCATGTGAATGCAAGTGTCTTTTTTATATTACGACCTTTGTTCTTTTGGGTACATACCTAGTAGTGAGATTGCTGGATCAAATGGTGTATCTACTTTTAGTTCTTTCAGAAATATCCTGATTTTCATAGAGGTTATGCTAATTTACAGTCCCACCAACAGTGTATAAGCATTCCCTTTTCACTGCATCCATGCCAACATCTATTGTTTTTGATTTTTTAATGGCCATTCAGACTAGTTATAAGATGGTATCTCGTTGTGCTTTTAATTTGCATTTCCCTGACGAATAGTGATGTTGAGCTTTTTTTGTCATGCATTTGTTGGCCGGTTGTATATCTTCTTTTAAGATGTCTGTTCATGTTATTTTTCTACTTTTTAATGAGGTTATTTGGTTCTTTCCTGCTGATTTGTTTGAGTTCTTTGTAGATTCTGGATATTAGTTCTTTGTCAGATGTATAGTTTGCAAATATCTTCTCCCATTCTGTTCGTTGCCTGTTTGCTGTGTTGATTATTTCATTTGCTGTGCAGAAGCTTTTCAGTTTAATTAAGTCCTACTTATTTATTTTTGTTTTAGTTGCATTTATTTTGGGGCTTTTAGCCAGAAATTCTTTGTCTAGGCCAATGTCCGAAATGTTTTTCCTAGATTTTGTTCAAGGATTTTTATGGTTTCAGGACAGACATGTAACTTTAATCCCATCTTGACTTAATTTTTGTATGTAGGGAGAGATAGGGATCAAGTTTCATTTTTCTACATTTAGCTATCCAATTTTCCCAGCACTATTATCTGAATAGGATGCCCTTTCCCCAGATACATTTTTCTCTACTTTGTCAAAGAACAGTTGGTTGTAGGTATTTGGGTTTATTTCTGGATTCTCTATTCTGTTCCATTGGTTCATATGTCTACTGTACTAGTACCATGCTGTTTTGGTTGTGACAGCCTTGTAGTATAATTTGAAGTCAGGTTATATGATGCCTCCAGCTTTGTTCCTTTTAGCTTAGGATTATGTTTGCTATTCTGGCTCTTTTTTTTGTTGTTGTTCCACATGAATTTTAGGATTTTTTTTTTCTAATTCTGTGAAAAATTACATTGGTAGTTTGATAGGGTTTGGGTTGAATCTGTAGACTGCTTTGGGTAATATGGTCATTTTGACAATGTTGATTCTTCCAATTCATGAACATGGGATGTTTATTCATTTGTTTGTGTCCTCTGCAATTTTTTTTTTTTTTTTTAGCCAGAGTCTCACTCTGTTGCCCAGGCTGGAGTGCAGTGGCGTGCTCACTGCCACTGTAACCTCAACCTGCTGGACTCTGGCAATCCTTCCACTTCAGCCTTCCAAGTAACTGGAACTGCAGGTGTGTGCCACCATGCCCAGCTAATTTTTTTTTTAATTGTAGAAATGAGGTCTTGCCATATTGCCCAGGCTGGTCTTGAACCCTTGGGCTCAGGGAATCCTCTTTCCTCTGCCTCCCAAAGTGCTGGGATTACAGGTGTGAGCCATTGCGCCTAGCTACAATTTTTTTCATCAGTGTTTTGTAGTTCTCCTTGTAGAGATTCTTCACCTCCTTGGTTAAATATATTCCTAGGTATTTTAGCTTTTTGACTGGTACTGTAAATGAAATTGAGTTTTTTATTTGATTCTCAGCTTGGTTGCTATTAGTATGTAGCAGTGCTACTGATCTGTGTGTGTTGATTTTGTATCTTGAAGCTTTACTGACTTCATT